AATACAATCTGTTAGCCCGTTATAACATTTATGATCAACTATTTTCCAAACAAAATCTCTATAAAAGTAAAGACAGTTTTCGCCACGTCCACCATTAGGTTCTCCGGAACCCCAATTGATGTATTTCACCGGTGTCTTGCTGTAGGTGTTAACCCAGTTGTTTTCCAACACCTCATCACTCCCACCGGTAAGGACAAGCTGATATTGAGAAAAGTTGCTTAAAATGTAACAATGAACTGATGTTCTTCAGCACTGTCCATCTCAACAAGGTAGCCTCCGTATATTTCACACATGGCTTCTGCGTCTCCCATCACCTGAATGTTGGAATCTGCTGATAGGTAGTAACGCCGTCCTTGAAACACATCAGAAACACGGAAGAACTTTGACTTTCCTCGGTCGAGTCGGTCGTTAAGATTTGAAAGTTGCAGTTTTCCCTCCGCCGAAGTCAACTTCAATTCGTCCAAGTCACTTGACATTTTTTGAATATAATCTAAGATGGTCACTTGATCCGGTACGACAGCGGTGACCTCAACAGTTAGAGACTTTGTTTTCTGAACACCGTTGATGTCTTTCCCTCTGACCTCACATTTGTACACACCAGCTCTGTCAGGTTTTGGATAGTTCCACGTGAGCCTCAGCTCGGACGTGCCATTGTCAACAATCTCACCCGCCTTTACAGCTCCTGACGAGTTATAAATGCCAAAGACGGAGTCGACAGATCCAAGAAGTCGAAACACTGGCCGGTCTGTACTGTTAGAGAAGAGGATTCGGATTTGTTTAGTCAACGCGATTGTGCTGTCTTTGGTGGCCGTGCATTTAAGTTGTAATCGTGTGATCAAACCAATTTCTAGAATTGTCGGACTTGCTACAAATTTCTGTCCTGGTAAAGAAATAAAATAATATTAGCTTTCGGTATTTAAGTTGAAAAGATACAACTAAAATGCTTTTTTAATCATTGAAATAGCATTTATTTAACAAAGTGTAACACACATCTACTCTGACATGGCGTGGGATGTTATTTCTTATGCTGTGTGTTATGTCAGTAGCATGGTTACTTGGTTTAAGTTAGTAATTCAGAATGCCGGCTAAGACTTCCTCTTGCTATCCAGGCACGCAAATAAGAATACTGAATCCTGGTTAAACTTACAGTACTTTATTGAATCACAGTTTACACAGATACTATTAATAATAATCCTTGCATGAATGTAATCATTTCACATATATCCATATAATATTCCATCACTCAGAAAGACACGTCCTCAAACTACTATAACTCAGCTCAACTGTCTAATCACACAACTCTCCTATCTCTACTGTTCTCTACTGCCCTGCGCTCAGCTCTCTTATCTCAGTCAACTCATACTTTATTACCAGCAAAGCGTGGAAAACAACCGCTCTGACAAAAACATAATTTTACTCTCCAAAAACGTGGAGTTCACATTTGCATCTCAAAATACAATCCATTGATTGTCTCTCCCCGTGGAAAAAACATGGTCAACACAATTCACTGTTCACTCATGCTACCTCTCTGTTTTCATGTGAAAACATAGTCCGTTACACAAATCAGGATCAATGTTCATTTGAATTTCAAAAAGGGTTACAAGCGTTTTAAAGTAAAGAAAATGAAAATGAAATTTTGGTGTTCATTTTTTTTCCTATGGGACATATTTTTGAATACCAGAAATACATCACTACAAAACAAAGATTTTTATGAATTGAATGATACTTACCAGCACTGATCACAGTAATCATTGCGCAAAACGAAAACCAAAATAATGTCATTTCTGCGCCTTTTGAAACACTGTTTTAAGATTATATGCCGATTGCGATCTCTGGCCCAGCCGTCTGTGATTCTAAAGCTCAAAATGTTAGGAGAATAAATTCTGGAGCTTAATACAGCTGGCCCAGACAATTGACGTGTGGTTCATTGAACATACTTCATTTGGTAGTTGCTACATTAGAAAATCCGACACCTTTATAATTCTTTTTTTTTTAATGTTTAAAAAGATATTTACAAATCATAGGCGTATTTCTGATCTACACCCGTCTAAAGATTAATGTGGATGACTGTGTTTCTTTGGGGATAATATTCGTTTTATTTAATTATTTTTTTAATCAGCATTTGTTTTAAATCACATGTTTCCCTTTGGTCGGCGTCATCACAATACTAAGCACTCTATTTAAATAACATACCAGATACTGTTTGTTATCTGTTGAATGTTTCATTGTGGCTGCGAATCCTTTCACCGATGTTTAAAAACTGAAATTAAATTATTTTTGAAATTATTTTTAATAAACTTTTTCGACGCCATAATACGTTTTCGAAATCGTACATTCATCTCAGAAGAGAAAATATTGTATCAGCAAGGGGCGGAAGTAGTATCTGAATTACGAGAGTCACTTAAAAATATCGCCCCTACATCTTCACCAGCTAGCCAGCAGCACCCAAGCCAAACTACCATCCATACCCTCACTCTCCCATCATGTCTCCCCCCCCCCATCCACATTTCCTGATATAATGTAATCCCAGCATGCCTTACCCAAATTACCTTTCTCAATATACAAAACCAACATACCCTCCCCAGCATGCCGTACGCAATTTACACTTCCTAGCATACCCTACCCTGCCTACGCTGCCAAAAATACACACCCAGACGTAACCTACCCAGCATACACTCCTCAAACTACATCTCACAATGCCACATGATGACTCCTCTTTAAAAAAATTACTGAAAAATGTAATCTCAGCAAGCCTTACCCAACTCTCCATAATGGCAAATCTCACCATCTGTCAAAGTGTTTGGTTTGGAATTAATGAAAAATCCCGACAATTTCATGCAACACTAGGCAATAATTGGTATATTGTTTGCTAGCATCTGTGGCGTAAGATAGATCCCAGCTTTGACAGAAATGGAGCATCGCAGGTGTTTTTATTGTTCATATTTTTTTTTTTTTTAAAGTAAGTTTAGAGCACCTGGGGTTGGAAACTTAGACACAGGGGGAAAGATTTCACAAACATAAAGAAGAAAGTTGAAAGGATTTTTGGAGGAAAAGGGTCAAAGTTTGTTTGAGTTGTGTAGTATGAACTTTTGAAGAAAAACAATGACCCGTATTATATTATCACAAAATTTAACTTGAACAGTTGAACTTTATAACGCCTCATTCGTGAATGGCGGGCTGAGAAGATCCTACCCAAGAGAAATCTTATACACACTATTATGAAATATATTTATTTTAAAGTATTTTCAATTTTGATTTTTTTTTTTTTTTACATGTGACATCCTCTTGAATGCTACAAACATCACCCAACACACTTCATATACTGAATACCCACCAGAAATGATCACAGCAATCATTGCGCAGAACAAAAAACGCCCAGATAATGCCATTTCTGCGTCTTCTTAAACTCTTTTTAAATATTTTATGGTGATGCGATCTCTGTTCTAGTGCTTGGTTTTCTTAACTCTAAAAATATTGAAGACTAAATTGTGGAGCTCATGCAACTGGCCCAGAGAATGACATATGGCTCATTCGACAAACTTTATTAGGTAGCTGTTACATCAGCTAGTCCAAAACCCTTATAATCCATTTTTTTTTAATTTTAAAACGATATTTACAAATGACACGCGTATTTCTGACTTACATTCGTTTGCATATTTATATGTACTAGTGCAGTCTTTTTACACCGGATGACATTTGAAAAATAAATCCTTTAAAACATACCACCCTTACATCCCTCCCTGCTTGTCAGCTACACCCAACCCAGCCTTCCTCATTATTATTTTTTTTTAAATTATTTTTAATAAACTTTTTCGACGCCATAATACGTTTTCGAAATCGTATATTCATCTCAGAAGAGAACATCTTGTATCAGCAAGGGGCGGAAGTAGTATCTGAATTACGAGAGTCACTTAAAAATATCGCCCCTACATCTTCACCTGCTTGTCAGCAGCACCCAACCCAATCTACCGTCCATACCCTCACTCTCCCATCATGTCTCCCCCCCCCGGCCATCCACATACATCCCTGACTCTTCCATCAGGTCTCACCTCCTGCATGTCCCTGAATTCATATACCGTTAGTCTCAGCTTGCCATATCCGACATTCCCTGCCCCATTCACCTACACAAGATACCATTATGACATACCCTACCTAACGCACCCTTTTCAAAATACCATACCCGACATGCAAAATCCATCCTCATCTACCAACGTAACAGTCCGAAAATACCCTACCTAACGTACAATGACAACTTACCTCCCTAACCCTCACCCTCTCCATTATGTCTCCCTCCCACTCACCCTAAACCAATGTAACCTCAGCAAGCCATGCACAGATACGGTAATTGCAATACAAACCTCACATCCGTCAAAGTATATGATTAGAATTAATGGCAAAAATCCGGACAATTTTATGCAACACTGCACAATAATTTGCCTAAAGTCTATTGCATTTTATTCTTTCTTAGCTTCGCCTACAAAGAATATCAGAAATTATTATTTTTTTTACATTGAGTCTCTAAAGAGAAGGTTGGGAGCATAAGAGATTTTTCCACCCAGCCAGTTAGCCAGCCACAAACAAAAACGAGGTTAATATAAAGTAATTAATTAAACAACCCTTAAACACTATTAGTTTCACAGAAATCCTTTTTAAAATGTAATATCGAGCAGTGGGGTGGGCCTGAAAAGTTGACAAAATATGCCTAGAAATAACGCAATTCATATGAATTGTTAAAATGGTTGTGAATAAACACCTGATTTTGGATATATTTACAAAAGTCTTAACACACATTAAGTATTACTTTTTAACATAAGAAAATATATAAAGATTTCAAAGAAAAAAGTTACAGTTTTCTAATATAAAAGTCGTCTGCTGGCATCAGAGCAGTTTTGTCCTCAAAACGTTGCATTATTTTAATAAGAAATTAAAGCGAAAATAGAAGAAACCTTTTCAAACAAAGGAAAATTAACATGATTCTATTTTTATAGTAACTTTTTATTGGTGTCCTTTCTATGATAGTTAATACGAATATGTTGGGAGGTAGAATGACATATAAGATCTACTAATAATATTTATGTTTTCACAGTTATTTTTTTTTTTAAGTCGAAATTTTATCAACATTGTGCAAATTGAAAAAAAAAAATTAACTTAAAACAGTTTAGCCCATATATATTTTGGAATGTCACTAAGAAAACGCGTTGTAAATTCGTGATTGTATACCACTTTTTTTCACTTGCATTCCACGCAACGTCCCCATGCAGGCACATCAATTTCGCAGGCGTGCATCATAGAAAACAAAATAATTCAATTTTTTAACTGTGTTTCGAAGATTTTTTTTTATAGTTGTCTCTCCTATTATTGCTATAGAGTTTTTCGTACATGGTTAAGGCTAATCTTAACTAACCTAAAGCATGTATAACGTCTCTGTGTTTCAGAGCAGAGTGCGTTAGGTTTCTTCGGTACAATTAAGCTAAAATGTACAAGGTTTCAATAAATATTTTAATTTTTACATTTGTTTTTGGTCTGTTAAATGTCATTTCACGTCTGGAATTTCACAAAGAAAACGAGTTATGTACGAAGGAGTAGTATAGTAACAAGCTTCATCGATAGCATCCCAACCATCAATATCGTACAAAAACAGGCAATTTCTTAGGTTCCCATATCGCCTACTTTTTACAAGCCAACTAGGGACTAATTTCTTGCTGTGTCTGTACACCCAGACTTCCTCTTGGGCTTCATCCGTGCCTCCTATTAGAACTAATCTGAAACCAGAAAGCTCTCTTATGAAACGTTTGACAAAATCACGTTCACCTACGTCGTCGATCTCGGCCAAGTATCCACCATACATGACGCAGGTGGCCATAGCAGACTCTGATCTCGTGATTGGGTCTTGTTGAGAGAGGTAGTAGCGTCTTCCTTGATAGACGTTCGATATCTTAAAGAACCAACGCCTGGATTCTTCAATCCTTCTCTTCCAGTCGTCAATAAACTCGGAAAGACTTTGGTTGGAGTTTTCCAAATTGCTCTGAAATTCCTTACTCTTTTCGTCGAATTTAATATTCAGATTTCTTAATTGTTCGGCTAGCATGTCAACCGTGAAATTGACAGATGGTACTTTTGAGGTTTTCATTAGTGTTATAGGTCGCCAGGATAAGTCCATACCATTGGCCTCGCACGAGTAGTCCCCTGACATAGCTGCCGTCGGATACTTGAAAGATAAGCTTATAAATGAATCTCCCTTGTTGTTTATAACGCCATTGCCCGCCGCTTGTCCACTCTGCACAAGTATATTACCAGTAACTGCATTAATCACTGCAAGAGACTCGTATTTAGTTACGCCCCTTTCTGCATTACCGCGAGATATAATCAAAGAAATCAAACTGGCCAGTCTAGGAAAACTTGCATGTGGCAGTGAACAGTTGACAACGAGAGATTTTGTTGATGGGAGTAGGATTTTGGGTTCTACTTCAAGAACTTGAGCTGTCACTGAAATGCCCAAAGTCATTAATAAATTAGTTAGTTTATTATTCGTTTTAAAATTATTTTCCCCATGTTTATACATGTTTTTTTTTTCTAATGAATGTTTTTACTTTAACTTTTCATTTTTAGCAATAGTCGATTAAATATTTTACCTTCATGTAGTTGGCATGTTATCAAATTATAAAATGTATTCAAAGAATCATTTCAAAGCTTACTTACCATGATCAAAAATTGGCTCTAAATAAAGGTCCCCAAATAAAAATGTTACTATGCGAAATGAGATGTTTAAGGAGAGCAGCTGGTGAAACAAGAAAGGATGCCATCCTGAACAAGGAAAAAACACATGGAGGTACCATCCCAATCAGCAGCTACATGGCTAAAAAAATTTGGTTTGGACCCCTGGTCAGATTTTCTGTCAATGTCTCACATGCAATGCAAGCATGCAATAGCAGGTACATCAGCTTCAGGATAAGAGAAATGAAATGCCGTCTGTAGATTGACTGGCTTAAGATCACCCTAAAAATCCACAACATGAACTTTTAGAAGGCTTCAAACGTTGCGGCTTTCTGTCAACTATAAAAGTCTCTTCACGGTGCCTCACCAGTAAAAACGAAGGAGAAAAAAGAAAAATTGCTAAACTAACTTACATACATTAGTTTGCACGAAATTACACGAAATTTGGTAAATCAAAATTAAAATGGCAATAGTTACCTTTTACTAAGATGGATGCTGTAATTAACGCTTTCAAAGCTTTTTCCAACATGTTTAACGTCCGTCGCCGTGGTGAGCCCCAATGACAGAACCAAGTTAAACAATGGACTGAAGCTAAGGTTTAGCTGTCATTTTATGAGGGAAATGATAAATGGCAGGGGCGTTTTCACGTACTTAACGAATTTTTAATAAACATGATTGATGAAAAACATTTACATAGTCAACTCCTATGATGTGACCATTGTAAATTTTTTTCTGAAAATTTGATGAATGATGAATTTTCATAAAAATTCTTATATTGAAACAAAGTAATGGTTCGTTGTTGAGCGTGGGTTCCGCCTCTCTAACAGTAGTAATTACGCGGCCTATTGTAAAAAAAAAACAAGATGTATTAAATTGTCTGTTTATGGCTAGCTATTAAGTGTCTAGAAATGTGTTAAAGAATAGTCCAGAAATAATGAGTCTAGTACAGAAGTGATAGCGGTACTGAAATGGAGTGAAACAATACAATCGCTTGATGAGTTCTATTGCCCACCGGCTGTTGTGTTTATATCCCAGTTTGTAACCTGTCAACAAGTCTCATTCTCTTTGGACGTTCATAGGCTAAACTATGTCTGTGTAAACTATGTCTATGTAAGCTATGTCTACTTAAACTATGTCTATGTCAACTATGTCTATGTAAGCTATGTCTACTTAAACTATGTCTATGTCAACTATGTCTATGTTAGCTATGTCTACTTAAACTATGTCTATGTCAACTATGTCTATGTAAGCTATGTCTACTTAAACTATGTCTATGTCTACTTAAACTATGTCTATATCAACTATGTCTATGTAAGCTATGTCTACTTAAACTATGTCTATGTCAACTATGTCTATGTCAACTATGTCTGTGTAAGCTATGTCTAAGTCAACTATGTCTATGTCAACCATGTATATGTCAACTATGTCTATGTAAGCTATGTCTATGTCAACTATGTCTATGTCAACTATGTCTATGTCAACTATGTCTATGTAAGCTATGTCTACTTAAACTACGTCTATATAAACTATGTCTATATCAACTATGTCTATGTAAACTATGTCTATGTCAACTATGTCTATGTAAACTATGTCTATGTCAACTATGTCTATGTAAACTATGTCTATTTAACTCGAGTTCTCTTTACATCTGGTTCATCCGGTCTATTTCTTTTTGACGTACATACAATAATTCATCCCCCCCTCCCCCAAACCACTTACCAACTCCATTGAAATCCAATCTCTTCCCCACCAATCCCTAAAAGGCAGGGTTTGGGGGGGGGGGTCATTTTCGCTTTGAATTACCTTTGTCAAATACTGAACTAACAATAGCTGATCCAGTGGGCGGGGGAGGGTTGGTCACATCAGCACCTTATTCTACTACTTTATCTGCCATGTTTTTGACACACTGATACAGTAAGTGGTTTACCACTGCTTATGCTGAATATTCTGTTTAAGGCAGTATGACTTTTTTTCTAAATTTCTTTATACATTTTGGTGTTTTTGTCAGTGGCGTAGATAGAGAGTTTGCTCTTCATAATTCCCACCCGCACGAAACAAAATTTAATTAAAATATGCAAAGAATTCTAAATAGTTCCTCAAAAGGATCACAGAGGGCTGATTACTTCGGTCGAGTTGGTCCGTACGGTTTAATGGATGCATGTTACATTTATGAAAATTAAAATTATATCAATTGGAATCACCTTATTTTAGCTAAGTTTGTATGTGTCAGGTTCATCATGGCCATAAATTTGCGATTCGGAATAGATATAAACGAATGTTGTAATAAAAATAAATTTCATAAATTACGCCTCTCAAAAATGTACATCGCAACGTTTTGTTGAATATACTTAATTAAAATGTGTACATAATATTTTTTTGAAATATACCTAACTATTTTTACAACATGTGTAATCTAACATTCTATAACACATTTAAATAATTAAAATTTTAAAAAAGTAAAAAAACATGAAACGAAACAAACTTTGAACGTATGGGCTTTTAATCGTGTGAATTCGAACATTTAAAATAAATAATGCAAAAAATTTAATATAAAAAAAAAAAAAAAAAATGTTTATTCAGGAACTTCGCAGAGGTAAGCCGTTCTTACTGTTGTTGCTCCCTGAAAAAAATTAAAATTTTAAAAAAGAAAAAAAAAATGAAACGAAACAAACTTTGAACGTATGGGCTTTTAATCGTGTAAATTCAAAAATTTAAAAAAAAAAATGAAAAAAATTTAAAAAAAAAAAAAAAAAAAAAAAAATGTTTATTCAGGAACTTCGCAGAGGTAAGCCGTTCTTACTGTTGTTGCTCCCTGATAGCAAATATCATCTGCGACTGTCCAATCGCTGTACTCCCATAAAGACAGACAATTGGCCGCCCGTCCCTGGTCTGGCTGCTGTGGTCCCCATTTGATGTACTTCACGGGAGTTTTGCTGTAGGTGTTGACCCAGGCGTTCTCTGAAACTTCATCGTTTCCCCCGATGAAAATAAAATCATACCCGGTTGTGTTCTTCACGAAGCTCTTGACGAAGAGATACTCTTGCTCGCTGTCCATCTCTGTAAGATAGCCCCCCATTAACTCACACTGCGCCTCGGCTTCTTTCACTAAAAGTATTTTTGACGACGGAGACAGATAGTAACGACTGCCATTGTGTAAGGCAGAAATGCGATACAAAGATTTAAGAGACTCGTTGAATCTCTCACAACATATGCAATTTTCAATGACAGACGAGCCAATTTGATCGAGATCTTGTTGAAGTTTTGAAATCTGTGAGGACTGGAGCTCTATTAGAGAGGATTGGTTCTCAATTTTAGAGGATTGAAGATTAATTACAGAGAATTGATTCTCAATTTTAGAGGATTGCAGATCAATTTTAGAGGATTGAGTCTCAATTTTAGAGGAATGAAGCTCAATTGTAGAAAATTGAAGTTCCAGTAACGAGGACTGATGCTCTAGAATGGAAGACTGGTGCTCAAGGACGTCTAGCAGGTCTTCTATGGTCGGATTAGATATTTGAACTTTTACCGTTTTAGTTATTTTCACCACCTGTCCATTTAGACTTTCTCCATTCGCTTCGCAGCTGTACCACCCTGTCAGTGAAGATCTAGGAGTGTCCCACTTCATTGCTATGTAAGATTCATGTCTGTTGTCTAAATGTCCAGAGACATTACCAGTGACGTTGTTGAGACCGTCCAATTCATCCACGGAAGCCTGGTAGTAAAAATTCAGATTTTCGGTATCATTTGACTGGGTGATGACCAGAGAAAAGAGTTTCACCATGTTTGTAATATCAGTTCGTGTGAAAGAACAGTTGACGGAAAGTTGTCTTGTAAGCCCAGCAATTATGTCCGGGGGCTTGACTTCCATCAGCAAATCTGAGAAAAGTGAGCAAAATATTTCAGAAGATGTGACTTTAAAGTTGTTGTTTTTAAACATTGATAATAGTGTGAAATAGTTAACTTTATGTACATGAGAAAACATCATTGATATATATTACTTCTGTATTTAACCACTATATATTACCTTTGTATATACTCTCTATATATTATGTCATTAAATTGCCCCTATGTAAGGCACAGTGCTTAATTTCCCAATGTGTAGCGTACATGAAAAGCGGGGTATGAGATGTTTACAGGGGGGGGGGGGGGGAGGGGGGTATTTGTTAGAAAAGTGGAGTCGGATTTGTTTGGTTCCCATTCTAATCTCTCTATTTAGGTCCGATCAAATTGTTTATTTTTTTATGTTACGTTTTTTTATTTGGGAATAGAAAGACGAAAAATTCAGATACTTTTAAATGAATGTTTTAATCTTGAAAAGAGTTGGGGTGTGTGTGGTAACCTTACTTTTAGATAGTGTTAAACTATGTAACCTCTAATCTGTAAGTCGTTTTTTGCTGGAATAATCTGTGTCATTTTTGTTTGTCTTCCATGTAGGGCTGGGCCGGGGGGGGGGGCGTTTTCTACGCCCGGTTAAATTCCGGGTATGTTGTTACAATACCCAATGGGTCAGAGTCCGTGTTCGGGTGTTACAAAAAAAAAAATAACAATAGAGTGTTATCTTCTCATTTTGTATAATGTGTTCCACCCATAGGGGATAATTGAAGAGTGCCTGTATAGAACCTGTGGCCATAACGAAGGTATCAAAGTCGACGTACTCGAAACACTAATAGATTTAAAACGTTATCCTAGTCCAGCTGTTCTTAATCTTTTCAGTGCCGCGAGCTCTTTATAACATTTGTCAAGTTGCGGCGAACCTCTGAGAAATAGATGTTGAGAAGGTAGTAAGTTGGGCAGGTGACTATTATTGTAGATAAAAAATAGATGTTGTACTGTTATTGTAAAGGGGTTTGGGGTGGGGGGGAATAAGAAAAAGGGTAAGAAGCGTGTAGCATGGGCCTCTACACATAGAGGGGAAAGGAAGCAGCTTCTTCCAATCTTAGTAAGAGGGAGATAATATCCCCACTGCCTGCTTTTGAATTTCTTCAGGTAACAAAATTAATGTCAAAAAAAAGGAAAAGTTTAAACAATCAATTTTTTTACGCAATTTTTATTTGCAGGAAAAAAAAAAAAGTCAATTTTCCGTATGGTTTAGACTGGGAACTGAACTCCAATCCGAAATAGTAATAATAAGAACCAAAAAAAAAACAATTACAGGCCTACCTTTTAAATGTATCTTCATATATGAAGAGTTATGGAGCTGATAGCAACACTTTAACAGCTTGTTATAAATATCGTATTTTGAATTTCTTAAGGTAAAAAAATTAATGTAAAAAAAAAGGAAAAGTTTAAAAAATAAATTTTTTTACGAAATTTTTATTTGCAGAAAAAAAAAAAAAGTCAATTTTCCGTATGGTTTAGACTGGGAACTGAACTCCAATCCGAAATAGTAATAATAAGAACCAAAAAAAAAAACAATTACAGGCCTACCTTTTAAATGTATCTTCATATATGAAGAGTTATGGAGCTGATAGCAACACTTTAACAGCTTGTTATAAATATTGTTATTGAATAGTCAATAATGTTCTAAAAAATTTTAACTAAATATTATTGGTAAAATATATTTCATCCCTAACATGCATAAAACAAGAAAAGAAACTGTCTAAATAATGATATCAAATAACCATGACATGTGCTGAATGAATCAGGGCCCGTCTGATTAAGCTTACGTCGCTTAAATTAAGTCAGAAGGATGTAAGAATTTTTTTAAAAAGCTAGTCCGAACGTTGTAAATAATGTTAAAATGTTAAATGAAAATTCAAACATGAAAAAAAAGCTTCTTTTATATCCCCTCACCATTAAAATGTCTAAAATTCTCAAGATCTAAATACTGGTGAACCCCGTCCTTCACGGTCGAGTGCGCGCAAGGTTGCCCCAGGTTGAGGCTTGGATTTCTGAAACTTTTTGTGATGGTGAAAAATGTCGTAGGCATAAGTCGTTATAGGACACTGTCAGGCCGTTTTTATTGCAGACCCATTTAGAAGGAGACAAGGGTTACATGAATTGTAATGATGTAAAGTCTGGTAAATATCTGAATAATATTCATTTATATATATATATATATATATATATATATATATATATATATTATAAAACTTGAATTGTATTTAAGTAAATAATTTGTACATATTTTTTTTTTACTAAAAGTGAATATCTAACAAATACAAATTCTGTCCAAATAATAATAATAAATTGCTAATGAGCTAGTAGCTATATTCCATAGACTCATAGATTTACCTTTCTGCTCAGCGCGACACACTAGTGTGTCGCGATGCATAATTGTGTAGCAACACCCAGTTTCTAAAGCTCTGGTTTACGAAATCACGAGGCTGATAGAAACTTACAAATTTACATATTTCAACATAAATTTAGCTGTATCACTGCACAATTTTAGATATAAATAAGTAATTTTCTTCAAATTAATATCATGGGATCACATCTTTCACAAACATATACTTATGTAGATAAAAATTTCACAGATGTATTGCTGTTTTGTTTTTACTTGTAATGATCTTCTTTTAAAACGAATGAGTTGAAAAAAATTGTGTACACAGCTTTCTTTTTGAATTTAAAAAAAAAAACACACTTTAAAAAAAAAAATAAGATCGGTGCCTTTCTTGAAGTAAGTACTAGTGTCATTAATTAATTTTTTTTTATTTTAAATTTAGAACCAACCTGCTTTCAGTGAAGCAATGACAGCCACCGACAGGATAAGAAAATATTTCATTTCGATGAATTCAGAAATGCGTCGCATTCACAAATAACCCCGCCTTTGAAATGCCCTGCTGTGATTCGGTTATATAGTCCATTGACTTTCCCTTTGTTGACAACATGCCTGCAATTAGATTCAAATGTGAANCTTTCCCTTTGTTGATAACATGCCTGCAATTAGATGTAAATGTGAAATCAGGGGCGTGGTTGTTTAATGGAGCACATGTAGTTTGTATTGTACACCGGGGGGGGGGGTGAACTTGCCTCTCTTGGTAAAGCCATGGCAGATATCTGCGTTTTAGATTTCTTTTAACGTAACATTTTAATGACAGTTTTAATATTGTAGGATAGGAGACATTTTGCTTGAACCCTTTAACAAGACCTTAGAGAGTAAAATGTTGCTAAATTTGTGTATTTTTAGCTCCTTTTTAGGTGAGGCATTTCACTAAAAGACGCTTACAAGCGTCAGTTTGAGAATCAAGATTTCTTTAAAAAATTATGTATTTAAAGATAATTTTTTATCAAACAACCAAAACTGTTTCGTTAAACTGAGTGACTGATCAATTAATGACCCCGAAGGCCCGCGCCACGGGCAGACACCTTCAATTTCCCCAAAATGTGCATGGCCGGGAGTGAGTTTATTAGTTAAATTGACAGTTTTATCTGGTCCAATTTAACGTCAAGTCTTGTCCTTTTCAACGTCATGCCTTGTCCATTTTAAAATCATGTCTTGTCCATTTTAACGTTAAGTCTTATCCTTTTAACGCCGTCTTGTCCATTTTAATGTCATGACTTGTCCTTTTAACGCCGTCATGTCCATTTTAATGTCATGACCTGTCCTTTTAACGCCGTCTTGTCCATTTTAATGTCATGACTTGTCCTTTTAACGCCGTCTTGTCGATTTTAACGTCAAAGCTTGCTAATTTCAACGTCATGTATTGTCTTTTTTAAAGTAATGTCTTGTCCATTTTAACGTTAAGTCTTGTCCTTTTTAACACTAGTTTCCAGTCCATACTTCCTTTACATACTTATTTTCTATTGAAAGTCCAGAGAACGGACTTTAATAATAACTTTTTAAATATTTAAAGCCTTCTTTAGCCTACTGAAATTGATGTATACTATGCTTAGCTTGTGTGCTCGGGTAAGTTGCATTATTTGAAAGAAAGCTCCGCCCCTGAGGGGCGTTGGAAAAGTTAACCTGTTCGTTTAATGACCTACATAATTATTATGATTTTAAAAAATAAATCTTCGTCACTCGGTTTCATATGTCATCGCCTCAAAGAAATAAAGATGTTGTTTTCAAGGATGCTTACCTTAGATGTGTCTTTTTTTAACAGTGCAACATAACATTTATATAGGTGAATTCATTAAGAACTATGCCAAAAAACAAATATTTCCTTTGACCGACCTTGAGTATGAGATTACCCTTAATATTAGATTGCATGGATGTATTCATTACAAAAATGTAAGCCACAGAAGTTCAGGCACGATCTGAGTTGTTTTTTTTTTATCTCAAAGGGTGTCACAGCCATGACATCGATTAATTGAAGAGTTTAGCATCACAGAATTACACAGTATACAATCAAGCAATCGTAGAACCACAGTTTTGGCGGTACATCCTCACATTGCTTCATAGCACAACATCAAATAAAATTATGATATATCCTCACATGATTTTATAGTATATCGTCATATAAATGAATAGCTTAACATAACATAATGCTCCTAGTCTTTATTGCAGGTAAATCTTTGTGGGATAATATATATTCCTCTTATTGTCAAAAAATCTTTTTGTATTATTTTAAAAAAATGCTTGAGATTTTGTTTTTTTTTTAAATATAATAGAATTTACTATTTTGATTCGTGTATTGCCCGACTGGTTTTTTAAATGATCAAGTATATTTTTCTGGAAATGTGTCGATCTGGTGATGCGCTTCTTGAATGATTTGTGCCACATCTTAAAATAGTTATTTTATATTTTAAAAAGCTCATACTAAACCATTTAAGTGTATCCATAAGTATGTAGCTTACCATGATTTATAAAGACGAAGCGCGAGTACAACTGAAAACCCCGTTTTTGCTTGAAGTACAAAGCAATGTCAAGGCGACCGGCTCAACATCTGTGGCAATGGATTTTTTTTTTTTTAAACAAAACATTCA